AAGTTTACAACATGTCTGGCAACATTACAGTTAGAGTGAAACAGTTAATTTATAACATCCAGTAAGGTACTGCAAGTTTACAACATGTCTGGCAACATTACAGTTAGAGTGAAACAGTTAATTTATAACATCCAGTAAGGTACTGCAAGTTTACAACATGTCTGGCAACATTACAGTTAGAGTGAAACAGCTAATTTATAACATCCAGTAAGGTACTGCAAGTTTACAACATGTCTGGCAACATTACAGTAAGAGTGAAACAGCTAATTTGTAATGGCAAGTATTTATGTAGCAACCAGTTGGGCACTGTAAGTTGTTAATTTAAAATGTGTGGAAACATTAAATTGGATAAATTATGGTACCTGTCTTGTGGAATATATTTGTGTCCATAGATATGTATAATGTTTTGAAATAACAGTTTCTTTTAAATCATGTGTATTTTGGATGCTTATCACCTCCTTAAACCTGAGCAGATGCTATCCGCATCCAGCCGAAAATTCCAATTTATCCATCGAATGATGACAGCGTCTGATAACATTTATGTCTCTTTGGGTGAAAACTAATCCAAACCATGTTATTATCCACAAAATTAATAAAATAGAAATTTTATAAGGTATGGTGATAATTATTAGGAAATCATGAAAATAATACCAGTAGAATGAGCAAAACCTTCTAGGTTTAAAGAGTTTATTAAAGTAAATCAGTACGCTGGTATAAAGACTGGTCGTACTATGTTATTTCAGTAATCTTTTGTAGGATATCACATTGTCAGCAAAAAATGTGATTCTAGTATATTACATTCCAGTTTTGACAAAGTTATAGTTGTGTTGCAAGTTTTTTGTAGATATTTGATTTCATATCACAGAAACAAATTACAAGTTAAAGATCCACCACACTTCATTACATCAATATTTTTTACAGTTTGATAAATTATTAACTAAACCATCATAAGGTTTATTTTTACTAATTGCAAAGCACAAAAAAAAGGGTCTATGAAGGATTTGTTATTTACACGGATTCCATGATGTAGATGTGGATCTTACAACTTATTTTAAAAACTTGATAACATAAAATTAGTTTAGAATACATTTTTATTAAGGTTGTTTTTTGTGCTCTAAATTTATTTAATGGTTGCAGAAGGCTTAGGTTGGCATTTCAAGTCATACATGGATGTATTATGATCCAACCCAGTCCTTAAGTGCCTCATATGTTGATTTGCATTAAGTATATGCTATTGAGAGAACCTATGTGAAGACTTCAAGCATATAAATGTTTTGGTCTGTAAAAGAAACATAAATGAAAACATGAAGTGGGAGATAATTCTAAAACTATAAAACCACCTGGAAGATTTGAGATAGATATGTCTAATTTTTTCTCAACTTCAGCATAATACATGTCAGAAAATAGATCCCTATCCATCATATAACTTTATACTGACAAGAAATTTCATCTTTAAAATTTTATTTCTTAAAGATCGATACTCAGGTGAGATTTCAAAGCAGTGATTTCTTCTAAAGGTTAAATCTTTCTAGTAAGAGTTTTAAAATTTTTATCCATATCACTTTCACAGCAGATTTGGCATAGAACTGTACAACAGATCAAAACACATCTAATTGAAATATTTCTTCTCTCATGGGATTTCTAACCCAGAGCATTAATGTAGCTTTAGATGAACCTAAGCAACTTTGATCCTTTGCAGACATCTGTGATTGATTATGTGAAACCATCTGATCTGAAGAAGGAGCTCAACGAAAAGTTTCGTGAACGGTTTCCACTGATTCAGTTGACATTAAGCAAACTTCGAAGGTGAGTGAAGAGCTATGGGATGGGATTAACATTCATGTAATTTTCATAACGTAATCATGTTTTATATGTAGCTCGATTGTCACAACAATGATTCACCTAGTGTTTCTCCTTTCAGCCTGAAACGGGAAATGTACAAGATCGCTAGACAAGAGGTAGGACATTTTTTCCATTCTTTAAATTTTAGTTATTTCTTTACAAATTTGGATATCTATTTGTAAAACAAGTGATTATTTATAATTAACTCTGTCTCAAGACATTGTAGGTGAAAATTCTATCAAACAAATAATTTAACCAACAAGTTTCTTCATTTGCCATACCTTATATTTAAATCCAAAATTGTAATTTGTCATCCAGTACAAGAGTACTAACATACAGATATGCTTTCAGTGAAATAGGTATGAAATTAATTTTTTTCTACTTGTTAAGTCCAATTTTTTCACACTGGCAATGTATTTCTTATTATTGGACTGGATATTTTACAAAAAGTCAAGTTTGTACTACTGTACTTTATTGTGCTTAAACAAAAAGAAATATATTTGTTAAAAACATTTTCAATAAACCAAATTATGTGATAACTAAATATTTAAGTTGTTTTCACTCATTTGTTCATTTTCATTTTACTTTTTTAAATGATCTTTGGGTATCAAGTAGGAAATAGGTCAGCATGTACATCAACTTCTTGTAATATACAGGGTTGGCACTACGATATAATACATGTATATTTAAACCTATAATGTATACAGTCTACAGTGTTAGTGTACATCAACTTCTTGTAATATACAGGGCTGGCACCATGATATAATACATGTATATTTAAACCTATAATGTATACAGTCTACAGTGTTAATGTACATCAACTTCTTGTAATATACAGGGTTGGCACCATGATATAATACATGTATATTTAAACCTATAATGTATACAGTCTTCAGTGTTAGTGTACATCAACTTCTTGTAATATACAGGGTTGGCACAATGATATAATACATGTATATTTAAACCTATAATGTATACAGTCTTCAGTGTTAGTGTACATCAACTTCTTGTAATATACAGGGTTGGCACCATGATATAATACATGTATATTTAAACCTATAATGTATACAGTCTACAGTGTTAGTGTACGTCAACTTCTTGTAATATACAGGGTTGGCGCCATGATATAATACATCTATTATTTTAAGCCTATAATTTATACAGTCTACAGTGTTAGTGTACATCATCATCTTGTATTATACAGGGCTGGGACAGTGATATAATACATCTATTATTTTAAACCTATAATTTATACAGTCTACAGTGTTAGTGTACATCAACATCTTGTATTATGCAGGGCTGGGACAGTGATATAATACATCTATTATTTTAAACCTATTATGTATACATTGTTCATCAAGTACAGCTTAGTAGTTAAGATACTGATCTGTATAGCTGAGGTTCTGTTATACACATCCAATTACCATTAAATAAAATTGCACCTTAAGGTCATGGGTGCATTATAAATATGATGGTTAAATTTTAGTTCTTTCGTTACAAAGGTTGGATATCTATTTTTACAACAAATGGCTATAAATCCCAGTCTTCAGTTTGACAAGAGTAACCTAAGATTTGGAAGTGAGGTGGTGTTAATTAGCTGCTTTCTCCCTCGTCTATCACTTCAGAATTAGGGACAGCTAGTGCACATAGCACATTATTATGTTACACCTTCTTATAAGTTTTTATTTTGTTAAATGTATTATCGTGTAGTTTTTAAGATTTTTTTTAAGATTATTCTACCATCTGTGTTATCTAGTAATAATTTTCTTTTATCATCAGTGTGGAATTGATCTGCTCACGGTGGCTCAGTCATATGTCTATTTTGAAAAGTTGATCTTAAAGGTGAGATTTTGTTTGTTTTTTTTAATATAATTAAGTAAAGCTTATAAATATATATTTTCATTTTGCGGAGCCCTATTAAAAGTTCAATGCAACATTTAAGTACTGTTTGTATATATCTAAAACAATAAACTAATATCATATTGTTTGTAAAACAGAAATAAAATTACAAGTACAGTATAATACCCCTTTCAATCCAATAAAATCTTATGAAAAGTTTAATTAATACTGTTGATTTTGAAAAAATTAATTTTAGAGCTTCCATTAATGCATATTTGCATTTGTGATTTCAAAAATACTCATTTGGATGCATAAAAACAGTATGCGTGTACTGCACACGCAAAATTTCCTTCATCATTCTCTGAAGTAAGGAGATATTTACTTTTCCTTGTTAAATATAAATCTGTGTGTATTTAAAAAAACACCAACATCAATATGATTTTCTGTTGCAATATTTACAAAGGACTATGTACATATCTAAAATTGAATTTCCAATAAAAATTGGGTTTCGTTATCGACAGCTAGTCTGTATAGAATCAGTTTTATTTCCAACCGGTGGTCGATTATAGTCAATACACCCATGCTTAATGGTTTTCCTCAACCCTTTTGTTGGATAAAACATATCGTGCTGGTTCCCGAAAATTGTCAGTTATTAAACAAAATATGAAATTAGGAATTTGATCTTTTCTAGTGTTTTGTGAAGTCGTGGGGAAAATCAACTTTTCGCATCAAATGGCCATAAACGTCAATCTGTTTGACGGATCGTAAGGATTAAAAACAGCTTCATTGTGGCCTTTGAGAGTATTTAAACACAAATGTATTTATGTATTCACCTCTACTGTTACTCGGTAATAAATTTACCATTTCTCTGAATAAAAGAATAAATGAACTCATCTATAGGATGCTCTTTTGTCTGCTCATAATACAATAACTTCACTCTTAACATAGAAATATAAATGCTGCATAATTTCAAAGTAATATATGAATCTGCAGTTATGATATTCAATAAATATTCAACCTCTGCCCTATCACACCCAATGCACAACATTCAATTTTCTGTGTGAAAAAACAAAATTAAATAAATTAAAATTTAAAATTCAAGTCAGTTTGGAAACAAACACATCATTGTGTGATATTAGACCACAGTTCCCCCTTGTGACAGATATCTGCTTCGTTCAACGTGAAGTGGTGCCACAAGCTTGACCTTAAAAGATGCATCTCATAGTGCTTGTAACAGCAACTTCCAATTTTTCCTTTCGACCCTCAAAATTTTAAGATAAAGAGTTCTTTAGACCAGAAACTCTGAAGCCTGGAGGAATCTCTGAATTTTTAGAATATTTACAAATACATGTTTGAATGTTAATGACATTAATAATCAGTTGTTAAGCATTACTGGAAAATTACATATCACAGTATGGTTTATTAAATTCACCAAAGTGAAACAAATCAAGCAACAAAGCCTAGATTCTGTTAAATATCTTAAGTATGAAATCAGTTTTAACTTATCCAATTAGATCAATACTTTAAGGTACTAATTAGTTAAATAATTAAAATTTCTGTAGATTACTTGTTCAAGGCCATGTGTTATTAATGCATTGTTATTTTAAGTTATTTCCATGCTAAAGCTATTCAAATATGCATCAATAACTTAAATATAAACATCTAAAGGATACAATAATAGTAACATCACTAAATAAAAGCTGTTTTACCTTTCAATTTCTTCTGGATTAGATGTTGGTGAGTAAACATAACAGAAAACTCTGTGTCGGTGCTTGTTTACTTCTCTCAGCCAAACTTAATGATGTCAAGGGTGCTGATCTCAAGACTCTATTGGAGGTAAACTGGACCTGGTATTATAAAGTATATAAACAGTGACAGCAAATATTTTGGTTTGTTTTTTAAAAGAACTAAATACAAATATAATATGAGGAACAGCTAATTAGATTGAAAACGTTTATATAAAAGTTTAATTTCACATTCACATGCAGGATATGTGATTAATTCTTCCATGAATCTTAAGAGATATGAATTGCATGCATGATTGTAAAACACAAGTTCCCAAACTTTTCTAACCCCCAACTCATCTGCTTAGCCAGACAGTTTTCTGGAACCAAGCTCAACTAGGTAAAGGGGGTTGTTGTTTTAATATATTTCACTAAAGTCTAGTAGTACTCTAAATTTTATGCTTTTGTTTCTTTTTTTGTTTGACAACATTTCAGAATCATTATTTTATAATTTTGAAATAAAAGAAATATTTAAGTTTTTTTATCTTGTTCTGCAACCCACCCTAATAATTCTTGCAGCTCACGAGTGTAAACTACCGTTGAAAGAAACATAGTTACAAACACAATTATTCACTAATATAAACAAGAATACTCATCTGTATCTAAAGTGATAAACTGTACCTGTAATTCCTACAAATATTAGTTGTTGTTTTTTCAACATCTGATGGAGAGATTATCAAAATTAAAACCAAAAAACCTGCTGTTGCTCAAATAGTTATCAGAATTTTAAGTTGGATGTAACTATATATATATATATATATGTATAGGTATACATACACATAATTTATTTTTATACAGATTTTTTCTCTTTTTGTGATTGATTATAATATTGTGTCCTAAACATTATAACAGTGCTTCTATTAAAACTATGATGAACCCAAACTTCTTCCACGCTAGTTGCTCGTTTGTTTCCCGAGGTCTGAAAACCAGGTGTTATTTTACCTTCTTTTTTTTAATTGCATGAAACTGCAGGCTAAAATAAGTTTAGTATTTTGTTTCACTGGATCACAAGTCATTCTCTTCTGCAATAGAATGTAAATAAATACTTTATGTAATAACTGAGTAAGTATGATGCTGGTAAGGTTACTTTTGAGATGTTGAAAACCAGTGCTTCTCTTCCTCCATAGAAAATTGAATGTGGATTCCGTCTTAACCACAAGGACCTCCTAAATGCAGAGTTTGGAGTTCTGGTTGCAATGGAGTTTTCACTGCACTTGCCAACTTGGGAAATTTTTCCTCACTATCAACGCCTCCTTTATGAATCCTGACGATAACTTTCCAGCAGTTTTTGTCAGATACAAGCTGGATATTGATTTAGAACACTTCACTTTAATATAATAAAGATTGAAAGTTGGGAGTATAGTGCATAATTTTTGATATGTATACGAGTGTTGTATTTTTTATTGATAGCATCATTCCCAGAAAATTTGTTCTTCATTGTACAAGGTTGTGAAGAACGGTTTTGAAAGAACAGAAATTGTGTGGTGTCTTGCTGTCAAAAGAGTTGAAGAGTCAAAACTAAAAATTGAATTTTATCTATTTGCTGCTAATTAGCAGTGACTCAGAAAAAACTAGAATCAATTTTTCAAGGAAAAAGAAAGGAAATATTCATTTCAGTTAAACTCATGAATAAATGTTATGGAGGTATTCTAGATAAGACTGTTAAAATACTGACTTTACAATAGTGTATGAATCAGAAGTGAGCATGCTACATTATTTCTAGATTTTTTGTTGACCATTTTGGGTGGTTCTCCTCAACTCTAGTGAAAAGTTGAAGATATTATTTAGAATTCCAATGATTTTTTTAATGAGTTTTGTGTAAGCACACAAGTGTCCAATTCACAAATATGAAAACCATAACTCATATTATAGAGAAATCAACTGGAGATATGACAAGAATGACTTCATTTTATCAGAAGATATGGAATTATATAGATGATTTACAATAATATATAAAACTCGTGAGGTAAAGTTTCCTGTAAAAAAAACTGTCCTAAATATTTGATTCTTGTTAAAATTGTTTTAAGTTCAGTGAACTTGATAAATAAGGTTTCTTGTATAAATTATTGTACATGGTGTAAGCTCATTAAGGTATGTTTTTTAAAAGTTATGTTACTTGTTTTAAGTAATAAATGTGATTTGGGTGTAAGAATAGTATTGTTTAAAATTTCAAAGTGAAATCATAGTTTACAAGAACTTTTATCAAACAAATAGGAATAGGTTTTATTATCACATGTAAAAAATTCTAAAAAATAGTTTACCTTTCATAAACATGAGACTATTACACTGTTTAAAGAAGTGAAGTCTGGTAAATTTCGAGATAGCACTTTTTTTTACAGGTTCTGTATCATCAAGTTGTGTTTATATTGGTTTTGCTGCCAACATCGACAGAAAGCTAGATTAGGAAGTAGGGTGAAATCTGATTGTTTGGAAGTAGTTGAATGCAAAATTAGATCACTAGCTAAAAGTACCTAGGGTTACATGCAAAATTAGATCACTAGCTAAAAGTACCTAGGGTTACATGCAAAATTAGATCACTAGCTAAAAGTACCTAGGGTTACATGCAAAATGTAGTTGTAAAAAAAAAGATTTATTACTGTGTTCTTTAAAAATTTATTGTATGTTACTTGAATCAAAAGAAGTTTCTCCAACGAGATAAGACTTAGGGATAGGTTTAATGGTACTTTGAAACAGCATCAGACCATGATGAAGTTGTGCAAAGAGAGCCTGAGGTAATTTTGGCTTTTTATATAATTAAAAAGAATAAATAGACACTTCTATAAGGCAAGAAAGCTTATTTCTTTTATAGTCAATAAAATATTACCCCAATCACCAATACAAAAATCATTGAAAATCACTGAGACAATGGCTTTAAATAATACTATCTTCTATTGCAAAATCACAGTACAAATTATTGTATCCCATATATTAATATGTAGGATACATAGTTTGTGAGTTAAACTATGGAAGATTAGAATATTTTCAAGGTTATATGCCATTGCCAAAGAATTTTGTATGTTTTTCTTTAATATCAAACTTCTGCCCAATTAGCATCTCATTAATGTTTTCCTTTCCAAAAAAAATCTATCGAGGAAAATCTTTCAAGATTTTTGTTCCTCCAAAATTGGTAAAAGAACAAAACTAACTAATCTTGCATATAATAATGTCTTGAAGAATAAATTTGTAGCAGTAGTGCTGTCTGACTTTTGAGTCATAGTAGAACATCTAGTATTGTGAAAAAGCCATTGAAAGCTCAACAGTTATCTTTATTTGTATATTTTTTACTGAGTTATATAATAAATAGTCTGTTCAGAAAGTTATCAGTCTGTCTTGAGTTACATGTTTAGGTTACAATTGTAAATTTACTGTAAATGAATTAGTCATATACTACTATTGTACTGTAGCACATCTCCTTCTGGGATCATACCCATTTTTCTATATCAAGTATAGGAAATTTTGCCCAAAATATAGGGCAATGATAGGGTAAAATTAAAATATTTTTATATAATTTATAAAACAAATAAACAAAATCTGAACTGACTTCTTCTCCACTTATTCTTACCCACAATTCACTCTTTATTTCACAATAAGCATGATACTTCTTGTATAACAATGAAAACAATAAAAGCAACCATAACAGTAGCATTGTACAAGAGAGCTATTGATACTTTTCACACACACACACACACCAAGATCACTTTGCATTTACTTGTTTTTTTGTAAGATGTTATTCCTGAAAGTTTGATGCTAAAACATTCACTAAGTCATATTTTATTTTTCCTGTTCTCTTACCTACTGCAGATTTCATGTCAGTATTTACATTTTCCTTTGTTCATTTTCTAACATTGCTAAAGCTTTGTGTCTTTTTTTCAGTGCATCTTAAAAGTTTGGACTGGCTTCTTTAAGTATCTTATTGTTAACTTCAATGTCACCCTGTTCTGTCTTTATTTACTAAACCATTCTGCTTCTCTTATATTCTTCCTTACATCATTCTTTGTCTTGCAGTTCCTCTTCTTCCAGGCCTTGTACATACTGTGAGTGAACTGATTGTCCAACTTACAACATAATTTATGTTACTGTAATTAGTTGTGGATTTCCTCCATTTAAACTGTCACCAACTCTTATCATTTGCAAAGGATTGATTAAAGTTTCATCAAGCTATTGATGGCTTTGCAAAAGACATTGTAGGTGGTTTGGAGATTACAGAACCCAAGGTTCCTGTCTGTATAATGAGATCATTTATTGGTGAGAATGTTTTTGTATTTATGTTTAAACTGTTGTTACGTAACATCAATAGATTTTTGTAACACCAATCACCATCAACTACAGAATTTTTTCTGTCCATCTTTGCCTTATGCATGTCCAACTAGAAATGTTTGTGAGTGGTGCACAACTGTCTCTCTTTTTCTATGATTTGTCCAGCATCTCATATTTTTAATAATTTAAATGTAATTGTTTTTGTACCTGTTTACTTAGTGTTTCAGCAAACTGAATGGTATGTGACATAGAAAATATATCTTCTACAAGTATCTCCTTTACTTATGAACCGTTAACACATCCAACATGTTCTACAAGTTTTGCCTTGACTTATGAACCATTAACATATCCAACATCTTCTACAAGTTTCTCCTTGACTTATGAACCATTAACATATCCAACATCTTCTACAAGTTTCACCTTGAGTTATGAACCATTAACATATCCAACATCTACAAGTTTCTTCATAAGTCAAGCTGAAACTTGTAGAAGATGTTGGATATGTTAATGGTTCATAAGTCAGGGTGAAACTTGTAGAAGATGTTGGATATGTTAATGGTTCATAAGTCAAGCTCCATTAACATATCCAACATCTTCTACAAGTTTCTCCTTGAGTTATGAAACATTAACATATCCAACATCTTCTACAAGTTTCTCCTTGTATTATGAACCACTAACATATCCAACATCTTCTACAAGTTTTGCCTTGACTTATGAACCATTAACATATCCAACAACTTCTACAAGTTTCTCCTTGTCTTATGAACCATTAACATATCCAATTACTTACAACATTCTGGATGAGGACTTTTCATATTTTATATTGCTACATGAAATGAACTTGGTTGTGGACAGAGCATGGAATTCTGCAGGTTTGCAATTCATGTTCTGATAGTTCTTCAAAAAAGTCAGATAACAACTTCAGCTCTTGTAACCACACCATAACATCATAGAAATGTTTAGGAAATATTACGTGTGGATTAGTTTTCAATAAAATGATGCAGTTGAGCATATTGACACTTCCAGAAAGACTGAACTGCCTTACAAATCAGTTTAAATTGGCAAATCCAGACAAAGGTAAAAAAACAACATGTGCTACTATACTTGTTCTGCTACAGTATGGCTGACCTCTGCATACTTTTCAGTAAGTGTCAGTGGTCTGCCTACATGGTTTGTTACAAGTGCAACATATCTCATGAAATTTTTTTATGAACATGGACACAGCAACACTGGAATAAGGCCCACTTGGATGTTATACACTATAATAACTGCCTTGGCTTTGCATCCTTGGTTGTAATAACATATCATTTGTTCACTTCTCTGCATACTTGTTAGTTTCATATTGGTTTAATGAGATGCACTGTGACTATTTATACCAAGGTAAGTATGCCATACAACCAGTTGTTGCACTTCCAATGACAATTGTGGCAATTCAATCTGCATGATACCCTTTTTCCAGAATACTTTTTTTACAATCTTATATTTTTATAAGAATTAAAGGGCAAATGTGGGTCATCAAAAAACAAAACTATGGTTATTGAGCATAAACATGTATATGCACATTTATTCGATCTTTTCAAACAGTTTATCTGGTACTTTCTTCTCTTTTTTCCTAATACAAAGTGCAGTTTTTCCTATTAATGTGTTTTTCTGATCTTATACATATTCAATACTATTCATTCACCAATAACAAAGCAACAGAAAATGTCATGTAATTTTCTTAATTGTTTATCCTGCTAAGCAGTGTATGCATCATTCACTTAACAGTGTGTTGATCCAATGTGTGCTGGTGTTAAAAACATAAGTTTGTGATCTGTTGATTACTTCCATAATAATTTGATAATCATATTCAAGAAAAATGTTGTCTACTTCTTTCATTGATCCCTAACTAGTGATTCTTACTGGAATTTCTAGAAAGATACTACTGTAAATGTACTTATAATGTTGTGATAATAACTTCAAGTGTTGGGAAGTTGAATAGAATATATCTGCACTTCCATTAACAGCTAAAATGAAAATTATATATGTTGTCATTGTTTGGTATAAAATAAGTAAAAATTAATTTTAAGGCATAAATTATTAACATAGAAGGTTACAGGATTAATCCGTTTGTACACTTTGACTAACAGTTTAGTAAACTTTACTCATCCTGTCCAAAAGAACTTTGAGTAGTGCCAGTGGTGAAGACTTGTTTTTGTACGTAACTTGTATGTCTTTGTAAATATGTACATTTTTGCCATATGCTGTGTAAGTTTAAATTGTTTGTATAATTGCTTCCTTTATAAAATTAACAAAATTCAGATAATTTATTTCCTCAAAGGATTTCCTTGTTTATAAAATTTGTTTATTATCAGTACTGTGTGAGTTGTACATTTACTTGTTTTGTTTTTTTAATTTGTACAAATGTGTAAAATAATACACCTGAAAGTAAGTTAGCTGTAATTTAAAATTTCCAATGATTGCAACAGTACATTAACTTACAAAGATAGACAGATTTGTAGTTAGTCAAAAATAAAATAAAATTGATATAATATAAGATTATGTACATTTACAACATACTAACTTTTTTTGGACCTTATTCCAAGATCTGTGAAAGTCGCAACAAGCAAACTATTGAATGGTTTCAGTATTTCCAACTTTGAATTGTAATAAAATATTATGAGTGTAAAGGAGTAAGATACATATATATACATACATGTATAAAGAATTGTTTTTTTAATTTTCATAAAATAATCAGTAAATGTTGTTTAGATTTTATCCTGTAGTTATGAGTTCAACGTTAACACCAATGCAAGGATAATTTAGCATTTATGATAATGGTACATGAGAAAATAAACTGAATAAATCAAAATGTAAAGATCTAGCTATGTGTATTATTATGGTAAAAGAAAATTATATATTCATGGTCATTTAAGAAGAGTGGGCTTAAATTTTGGAATAAAAATCACATTAACTATACATCTTTTTTTATTTTTGCCTTTCACTGTCTGGCCTAACTGATGAATTCTGGTATTAAACGAAAAGCCTCTTGGGCACTGACTTGTGGAAAACAAAAAGTACAGCCAAAATTCTATTGAATCTGCAATGAAAAAATGAAGAAGAATGTGGGGAAAAAAATTACATTTTAAAGTGATTTTTTATCACAAATTTTAGGCTTATTGGTTTCTAATGATTTGCCAGCTTTTGGCATTTAAACCATATCATTTAAAGAGTTTGTGTGGTAGAAGCTATTCAAAAGACCGGTGGTACAGCAATAACCTTGAGGGTTTATAATGCTAAAAATTGTAGTTTGATACCTACAGTAGGTTTAAAGCAGACAACCTATAGCTTTGGACTTGAACATAAAACAACTTCTAAAAAGTTATCAGAAAGTATTTGTCTTGTTAAAATAGAATTGGTAGAATCTTGTCAGTTATACATTGTTGGTCTAAATAAGTTGCTCAGAGATGGGCAAGTTCTTTTAAGTAGTTGTTCACAAAACTCGACCTGATATCACAGATGGGCTACAAACTTATGTTTTAATTCTAATCCGTTACATTTGAGGCATTTAGAAGTTTCCAATGCTTAAGATCAATAGCCAGTAACAAAAGTTTCTTAAAAGTAATGATAAACTAATTTTTTGTGATCATATGAAATAGTACTTGTGGATTAATCTGGCCTGGGGCCACCAGATGCCTTTGTCTGCACAGATAATCATGAATTTATTAGTGTATACTTGAAAGGCATGTGTATTTTTCATGACATGAAATTTGTCTTCTTATTCACTCTATCATTGTTCAGAAGTTAATCAAAATTCATTCTTTACATTTTATTGTAAACTACTAATTTGTTGTTAGGTTCAAAGAATTTAGCTATTTTTCTCTTTTCTCTATGGTATTTCTTCAATTCCATTAGTATCTCTACTTGTCAACAAAGCTAAATAACTGTACAATAAAAAAGTACAAAGACTCCTATGGCTTTTTATTTTGGCCAGGGGGTTAGGAAGCTTGACTCTGAGTGTCACGGGTTCGAGTCTGCGTCCCACCAAACATGCCTGCCCTTTTAGCCATGGATGCATAATAATGTGACAGTCAATACCACTATTTATTGGTAAAAGAATACCCCAAGAGTGAGTGGTGATGACTAGCTACCTTCCCTCTAGTCTATCACTTCTAAATTAGTGATGGTTAACACAGATAGACTTCGAGTAGTTTTGCCCAAAATTCAACAAAAGAAGCAAACAAAACCTGTTTCATAAGACAGCCACCTATGAGATATAGTTGTTACTGTTCTAAACTGGAAGGTTGATTGATGTTGTTAAGGCTAGTCCTTTTAAATAGGTAGCAAAATTAATACCTTGTAGCTCATTATTCTGTCCATTCACTTTGTAAATGATTTAAACTAAGCCTGATATGCTTCTCTAGTACATTTCTATCATGGTCAGTTTTTGTCTTGATTGGGTGATATTGTTGAACTGGCCTGCTATATTTTGGAACTTGGTGACATAGTAATATAACTGGAGTAGTCCATGAAGGTTCTGCAATCATCAGTGACAAGTATAGACCACACGGGTTTTCCTCCTCCATACTTCATAGTTAATGGTGTTTGAAGTTGAAATTCTCACGCAGGTTTATCGAGAGGTTTGACTAAAGATTTCGGCGTCTACAATTAAATTATTTTGTATTATTCTAGCCCCCCCCCCCAATGGCACAGCGGTATGTCTGCGGGTTTACAACGCTAGAAACCTGGTTTCGATACCCGTGATGGGAAGAGCACCGATAGCTCTTTGTGTAACTTCGTGCTTAACTACAAACAAACAAATGTTATTCTAGAAATCCTGTATTTAAAAAAGCACTGTTGCTATAAAGATACAACTTTGACCACACATGTTTTGCGGGTCTCTGTTAATTAATTTAATACAAAATGAAACCAATCTTTATTCAAATAAACGGAAAAATATTGTGTTCGTACTTGCTTTAGGACACTGGATGGTCGCATCTTACTGGACTTATGAATTGGTCAATACATTTTTTTCTCACTAGATGTCTTCCCGTCAACCAACTCATAGAGATTAGCACTGTCACGTGATTGGTCATTACCATTCAACATAATGGAGGCCGTAATCTTTATACATCATCTGCCCATCAAGAACCTACTTGCAGCATTATAGCGAAATTTTCCGCCGCAGATCATGTATTATCTGTAGAGAACAACAAATGAACAAAAGCAGCTAGAACGAAGTGAACTTAACGGTTTTATGGAGTACGTTACGTGTTATGGGAGAACTGCACGGATTTAGAATAAATGACAAATTTTGAAAAATGAAAAGGTAGAAAATGCGTTTTTCATGCATGTTAAGTCGCTAACTGACTCACTCTCTGGTTCGCCGGTGAAACAGCGGTAAGTTCGCTGACTTACAATGCTAAAATCCGAGGCTCAATTCTTGCGGTGTACAGACCGTAGATAGCCCATATTGTAGTTTTGCGCTAAAGAAAACACACCCTCCCTCTATCCGTCTAACTTAATAGTTTCGTTTTGAGTTTACTTACTGATTATAAGTGTTATTTTATTAAAAGTTACAGCTTGTAAAGTATAAGAATGATGTTTTTAAAACAGGTACTTGAGAATGATCGCACCAGACATCAAAACTTCGTACCTGTTTTTAAAATATTGTTGCGTCATCGAGATCACGTGACTATTCTCACGCCCTCTACTTTCTAGAACTATCCTGTACTTTGGCGAATGCTCTAGCATTTACTAGATATAGGGTAGGCTGGTATATAAAAGAGGGTGACAACGTGACGGTAATGTGATGTGTGTTTAGATAGTGAGTAATTGAACTGCAGTCAGAAGTATTGTTGACGTTCGTTGATATAGCGTTTGTTTTAGCGCGATTGTTGAAAATAAGTGTATTGTAAAGTTATATTCAGAAAGAATAAACCAGTTTTATTAAGTAAGGACTTGTGTCGCTAAAGTTTCGTCGGAACGAAGTTACGGAAAGTTAATTAACAAACGGAGACGTAACAAATTGGTGTCAGAAGTGGAACGAAAAAAATGGAAACGGGAGGCGGAAAATCAAACTACAGTTTAGCAGACTTGATAGCAGCAATACAAGAGCAGCAAAAGAAACAAGAAGAGAGACAACAGCAGCTGCAAGAAAACCTGCAACAGTGGCAGCTCGAACAACAAAAGAAACAAGAAGAACGAGAAGAGAAATTACAACAGTTGTTAGAGGAAAAAGAAAAGAAACAAGAAGAACGAGAAGAGAAATTAC